TTATTATTATTATTATTATTATCATTATTGTTGTTGTTAACAGTATATTTCATATATTCCATTTATTTAGATTACAATGTTTTACAATCGAAAAATAATTTGCTGCTGTTGTTGTTATTGTTGTTGATAATAATAATAATAATAAATAAATAATTTCCGGTTTACAATTTAATAAAAATGTATTGCTGTTATTATTATTGTTAATAATGTTATTTTTGTTTTCAATGTAATACTAATCATAATTTATTGTTGTTATGAACATTGAATTTATATATTTTGATTACCATATTTTACAATTTAATAATAATTTATTATTATTATTATTATTATATGCTATTTTTTTGTTTTATGTGTATTTATATTTGATATAATGTAATATTGTATTGTATTAATTGTATATTATAATAATGCTGAATACAGTAGTATATACAAATCTATATAAAATCCAGACCAATTACAGATCATTTATATTAATTATATATTTCACTTGTATTAACATATTTACAGTTTGTTTATTTATTTATGTATCATGTAAAATGTAAATTATATGTTAATGCATGTAAAATAAGGTTGGATCTTATGAATATTTATGCTATTATAAAAAGTAAATAGGCGGCGTGATGGTTGTCAGTGATCTGTAATGCTGCAAACATTAAGATGACTTTATTAAACAGAGGGAATTGAATGAAAGAGTAGAGTCTGGCTTGGCCAGCAGTCCTCTGGATGGCACAGACTCAGGGAGGAACTGGCTCTTTGTCATTGCTGTTAGCATTAGCCAGAGATTTGCATACATTTCTGTGGGGAAAGCATTAAAGGAGCACAACAAAGAAAGGAAAAGACTAATGCACTATTGAAAGTCTCCCTTTCAAGATTTAAAGAAGCTCCATTAGAAATGGATGACTGCTCATGTAGTTTTTATTACATTTTCTGTCAGTGCTCTCCACTCCTCCTGTGGAAGTCTTTGATTATGGTCCAGGTTTGGAAGAGAATGAGAGGAGGAGGAGGTGGAGGAGGCATGGAGGCTATTGTGTTTGTACCATGCAGATGTTGTTTGCTGTCTTCAGCAGCGGTGTGTTTGTTATTTCATAAGTGTAGGTGCAGCATTTAAATCTCAATAAAGCCGTCTACAAACAAAGCCCTTCAAAGTCTAGTTTAGTTATATATTCTATCTATCTATCTATCTATCTATCTATCTATCTATCTATCTATCTATCTATCTATCTATCTATCTATCTATCTATCTATCTATCTATCTATCTATCTACCTACCTACCTACCTACCTACCTAATGTGTGTGTGTGAGTTTGTGTGTTTGTGTGTGTGTCTCTCTCTCTCTCAATTCAATTCAATTCAATTCAATTAATATTGGCATGACATACTTAGGTACATATTGCCAAAGCATTGTACATATCAGAACAAAAACAAAAAAAACAAAGAAACATGTAAAATACATCCATATATTTATATAAACATTGATGGTACTACTAATGCAGATGTGTTCACTCTTTAACTCTTAGTTTGTGGCATTTATAAATATAATGTGCTACCAAAGAGGAAGCAGGTCCTTCACCAAGTAATATTCTTAATTTGTGGTTTTCATGGAGCGACTGGAAGTCAGGAATGCTCTGCTGTATTTGACTGTACAGTGAGGCTCTTAAGGAGGTGTATTTGTCACAGTGAAGGAGGAAGTGCTCCTCCGTCTCTACTGATCCTGATCTACATTCAGTACAGATGCGCTCTTCTTTAGCTAACCAGGTGTTTTTATGTGCTCCTCTCTCTATGGCCAGCTGGTGGTCACTCAGTCTGTACTTGGTCAGTAAGTGTCTGTGTGTTATATTCCTGACTGAGAGCAGATAGTCAGCCAGACTGTACTCTCTGTTGAGTTTCAGATAACATTGGAGACGACTTTGCTCTTTGGTTTGTTCTTTCCAGTGCTGTATGTATGTCTCCTTCTCTTCATTCATAATGTCTTTGATTCTTCCGTGTTTTTCAGGGTTGGTGATATCGAGTGCTTTGTTAGTCAGATCTGACACCATTACACAGAGATGACTTTTTTGAGCACTTCTTTTTTGTGTTTTTAGTGCTTTAAAATGAAGAGAATCTTCCGAACTAGAGTTCAAGTGGATCCAGAACTTTAGAACTCTTTTTTTAATGATTAGATTGAGGGGGAGCCGGCCTAACTCGGCTCTGCAGGCGTTATTAGGTGTGTTTCTGTGCACATGAAGGATGCTTCTGCAGAACTCTACATGCAGAGCTTCTAAAGGCTGTTTGTGCCAGTCCTTATGACTGCAGTTACTCGCTGAAGAAGAGTGCTGAATATTAGTAACTCAAACCTATTTTTCTAAGCCTCTCTACCTAACCGCCGGTCGCGCACATCCGCCATGTTTGTAGTTTTTTAACGCGTTTTGTTTGTGTTTGTAGTTCTGGACCAAAGCGCAATGGATTGTGGGCAATTTTAGCCATTAGAGTGTGCTCGGATCCACACTTCAGAGATGGACCTGAAGCAGTAGACCATCCGGGGACTTCTGGCACACTCTTTTCAACATACTATGCTTTGGGACACACTTATTCTAATCTCGCATGCTATTTAGGATTGCGACGCAGGGCTCTTATTGTGACGGGCCGCTCTCTGAAGCTCGGGCTCTTATTGTGACGGGCCGCTTGCGGATGTGGGGCCGAGCGCGCAGCAGCTTCGCAGATGAAGTCCAGCTCGATGCTGAAGCAGAAAGCTCGAGCGCTTTAAACTCATCTGCAGGTGAGCGTCTGGCCGCACGCACAGCTCTAGAGAGCTTTATTCAGTCTGCATTAACATCGCGTTCAGTACATCTGACGGACTGTAGACACGGAGTCTCGCTTGCATTCGAGTTTAAGTGTTAAATTATCCTGTGTGTGTGTGTGTGTGTGTGTGTGTGTGTGTGTGTGTGTGTGTGTGTGTGTGTGTGTGTGTGTGTGTGTGTGTGT